TGCGCAATATTAGCATTTGTAAAAATCGAAGTGGGACGGCGATCAGCTGATCACCTTTCACCCACGCTTACTAATGACTGCTGTTAATACTGTTAACAGTTACAGTCAGTTTCTTTTGATTGAAGGTCAGAGTCTAGCCTGGTGCTCTGATTCTGACTCATCAATTAATTTTTTCCTGTTTGCCAATGTCGCAAGAAAAGAAACGATAGCGATATACGTGCAACGTTCGATGTTTTCCGTAGAAATAGTCCAAATAATAAATTTACTGCATTTTTTCTTTTCTATATTTTTCAATTTTTTGTCTCAAGAGAGGCAGAGGTGTTCGGTGGATTTTTTAAAAATTTCATTTTAAGTGCTGTATTTAATGATGTGTTATTATCACGTTTCAGGGTATGGCGTTCAGTATTGAGGAAAGGCAGATGCTGGGTATACATGGTCTTCTACCGGCAGCCGTAAAAACCCAAGAAGAACAGTTAGAGCTTTGTCGTCTTAATCTGGAACACTACACGGATGATCTCTCAAAATACATATATCTCATAGGCCTACTGGTACATAAACACGACAGTTATCACTGTCGCTTGATCGGAGACGCTATATTAGTGGTCTCTCCGTCCTCGCTTGATCAGGCCTGCTCTTTTCATATGCGTTGATTCTTATATAGGGTCTTATTCCTTAGGATAGAAACGAGAAACTTTTCTACCGTTTGGTGGCAGAAAATGTAAATAAAATAATGCCATTGATATATACGCCGACTGTGGGTTTGGCATGTCAGAAATTCGGTCTGGTTTACCGTAGGCCGCGTGGCCTCTTCATAAGTATTCACGATAAGGGCCATATCTATGACGTTTTGAAAAATTGGCCCGAACACGACATACGAGCAATCGTTGTCACGGATGGCGAGAGAATATTGGGATTGGGTGACCTAGGTGCTTACGGCATGGGCATTCCCATAGGTAAATTGTCATTGTACACCGCATTAGCTGGTATCAAACCCCACCATTGTTTGCCTATCACTTTGGACGTCGGCACTAATACCCAGGTATGCGAAAATACATGACATTTGCGGTAAACGCCTTCATTGGTTCCCTCGTTATATTGTAAAAAAAACACAAAAAAAATATATTTCTTCGTAAATATTTCGCGTTGATTTCTTCTTTAATCTTAAATCTATACGTTTAAATTTTATATTCTTTTTGCAGTCTTTGTTGGATGATCCCCTTTATATCGGTCACAGGCACAAACGTGTCACTGGGCAAGAGTACGACGAGTTTGTGGAAGAGTTTATGAAGGCTGTCGTGAAGCGATATGGTCCGAATACGTTAATTCAATTCGAAGATTTTGGAAATGTTAATGCGTTCAGATTGCTTCAAAGATATCACAACGAATATTGTACCTTTAATGATGATATTCAGGGCACTGCCTCTGTCGCTGTTGCTGGATTATTGGCATCACTTCGTATTACGCAGACAAAGCTCTCAGACCATACGATCGTGTTTCAGGGTGCCGGAGAGGTTGCTATTAAAATATTTAATTTATCCTGATAAAAAATTTTTTCAGAATTTTTTTACGAATTAGAACACACTTCAGAAAAATTGAGAAAGTTTACATATCTTTTCTTAGAATTCTTCATATAAATTCTGAAATATTCTAAAATTTCTGTAATTTCGTTTTGTAATTTCTCTCTCTCTGATGAAATCTTATAAAATTTGAAAAAATAGAATAAGAAATCGTAGAATATTTCAGAATTTTATATGTACAAAAAACTTTGAAGTGTTCGAATTTGTATTTAAAAAATCTGAGAAATTTTCTAAAGTTATAAAATTATTTAGAAATTCTAACAAATTCTTTGAAAAATTCTTACTAGAGAAAAATTTTTACTAGAGAATATGTTAACTGTCGACAAAAACATAATCGTGTTTTAGAGGCCTATTCTTTAATTCTTAACGACTGCAACGATATTGTTACATTGTCATTGCACAGGTTTTGTATATAGTAAAAAAGCTGCGCAACGACAATATAATATCATTATAGTCGTTAAGAGATACAGAATAGGCCCCTTAATCGCATTATAGATTATATATACGAAGAGTAGAATACGCTTTCATGAATTATGAATCACTTGTAGGCGTCATTAGGTATCGCGGCATTGTGCGTGATGACAATGGTAAAAGAAGGAATAACTAAGGAAGAAGCTAAGAGCAAAATTTGGATGGTAGATTCGAAAGGATTGATAGTGAAAAATCGTCCAAAGGGCGGACTGACGGAGCATAAATTGCATTTTGCTCGTGAGGATAAGCCAATCGATACTCTGTTGGATGTTGTTAAGCTCGCCAAACCCTCGGTTATTATTGGCGCAGCTGCTATCAGCGGTGCCTTCACGACAGAAATATTGAGGGAAATGGCGCGTAACAATGAGAGACCCATTATTTTCGCTCTGAGCAATCCAACAAGCAAAGCAGAGTGTACCGCGGAACAAGCATATATTGCTACAGAGGTAAGAAGTTGACTTGTGACTACAAGTCTGACTACAACAATTCTCTACATTCATTGAAAAATAAATTTTTAATATTGAAATTTTGCTAACGTTTCCTGAATAATTTTAATCAACCATTATTTGAATTGCGCAGGGAAGATGCATATTCGCGAGCGGCTCGCCTTTCGCACCAGTCACGTATAACAATAAAACTTACTATCCTGGTCAGGGTAATAATAGTTACATATTCCCTGGAATCGCGCTGGCCGCAATATGCTCCGGTATGCGCACCATTCCCGAGGAGACTTTCCTTATTGCCGCGACAACTCTCTCCGACTTGGTAACGCAAGCCGATTTGGACAGCGGCAATCTTTATCCACCATTGGCCGATATACAGACATGTTCGATGTGTATAGCATGTACAATCATGACATATGCTTATAAAAAATGTGAGTATAAATACTATAAATATTGCAAATGTGTTAGAGAAGATAGAAGACACACACAAAGCGTCTCGTATATTCTGTTACATAATATAAATTATTCATTTTTTTTATATGCAGGTCTAGCAACTGTCTATCCGGAGCCTTCAGATTACGAGAGTTTTATCAGGGCACAATTATACGATCCAAGCTATAAATCGGCAATACCTCCAATTTATTCATGGCCAACATTGTAATTAATTAATTTGACGTCTTTGTGATTTTATACACGATTGTTTCGGATCTATGAAAGAATAATATACATGTTTGAGGGAATTCTTCGGGAAATGAATCTTCCTCGCTTTTTTAAAGTCTGTTGATCAGGCTTATTTTATTTCTATCACCGTATGTGCAAACGTGACCAATATTTAGTTATTAAAATTCGCAGAAATGAATTTGTGTTTAATATGAAGGAATTTTTGCAAATAAAGTATACAAGCTCGATGTAAGAATTGATTTGCTGGTTAAACAAATAAATATCGATGCTAGTTTGAAAGAAATGTATTTATTGCTACTAGAAATATCGTTTTTGTTTTCTGCAGAACATCCTAGATATCCCTGATCGTGTTTGACGAGCAGTAGCTATAATATTCATTTCGTAGACTTAGTATAACTAAGATCAAACAAAACTTATACGGATGACAGTTGTGCAAATGAAAAGTCTGTGACAAAAAAAGTGAAAATTGCTTGTTCATGTTTGATCATTTTTCGCAATATTCAATATACATCATTAATTTAATTTAAATCTTTACAAGACAATAATCGACAAAAAATATTACTTAATTAGGCCAAGAATTTACAAGGCGATGCTAAGTCGGCATGTACATCGCGAAAAAGTTTGCAAATTCTTTTCCCGAATTCAATGTATAGCCCATCACACACAAAATGATATAAGCTGTATAAACATAGCACAATGCCGCCAGACCAATAAGCATTCGGCATAAAGACGCCATATTGATTTACATAAGAGTTATGATATTCATTAAATATTAGTCCAGCGGCTTTATGCTATGCTTATTCAACTTACGTCATTTTGTATGATGAATTTATCAGAAATGAATAAAAGAATTATTTGAGAGAATATTTTCTAAGACAATTATATATTCTTACATTTCAAGATGTATATAATTCACAACGATGAATTGTGGTGATTGTTATTCACACATTTTCTCTCGCTTGCGTTCGATCGCTTTCTCTCAATTTCTGTCAACTCTATTGACGTGTATGAGTAAAACTATCCACTTTATTTTTTCTAGTCCGATACTTACTGTCAGAACACATTCGTGGTCGTCAATTCAAAACAGATTATGAACTGTTGACCCCGAAAGTGACCTATCTTTATTCCAAATTCATTTATATTGTATAGTAACATTGTAATAAATTTAAGGGACAAAAAATGTACAGAAGAGCATTTAAAAAATTGTTTACAATCGTGGGACTCTGTTACGCTACACTGAGCAGACACACTGGCCTTTGCGCGCCAGTAACAGGGACCTTATCGTTTGTCTCATGATAGACAATTGCGATAAAAACAAACGCGGACTACCCGAGAGCTTATCGGGTAATAATCTGATCGCTCGTCGTTAGATATAATCGAATTAGTCCAAGTTCCACGGCACCACCGCACTACTGCTTTCTCTACGTATAGTTCCTATATATAGTTCCAAATTAAATCAGTGTTAAGTGCAGATGAAATGAGGAATTCCAATGATCAGTATTTATACACACATACACGCACTATTTTTCAAAATCAACGTTCGCATCATCACATCATCGAATTTCGTAGTTACGAGAGACATGTTTTCATAAAAATTAATGATATTAGAACAAAGACATAGGGCAATAGTGTCGTTGAAAGTGGAGTGTCTGTCCAGCACGGAGATCGGTCCCGTTCCTAGCTTCATCGAGAGAGTGAATGTGATCGTTCGTGAGATTGTTGAGAATCACCAGCTGCTCGCGGGTCAGGCAATCTCTGGGATGCTGGTAAAGCGTCGAAGAACGGATGAGTCAACGCATCCTTCAGAGTAATACGTTGCGAGGGCTCGTATTCCAACATTCGTTGAACCAGATCGAACAGCTGACGATGTTCTTCATCATCAGACAGCATATAACGCTATATACAGACATAAAAATATATATATTATTTTATGAATAACCAACAATTACATTATATTCGAAAATTATTTTGTCGTTAATTAAATAAATTATAATTTACATTTTAAATTTTTATTCGCTCTAATCTCGCTATTTGAATCTTTGTTTTAATTCGTAATTTGATATAGGAATTTAATTGAAGTCAAATCAAGATACTAACATGTAATGGCTTGCAATTATCTCGTACGTATCTACCGGCCGAACTCTTGTCATCCCAATCCAGTTTGCCATGGTAGAAGTACTTGGTCTTAGTTTTACGAGCCATGCGATGTGGTATCGTGCCAAGTATACGTTCCATCATCGCCAGGTGCTCGCGATTATCATGTGTTTGGAATAACGTGATGCCCAAGTATAACTCGAACAAGATGCAACCGATGGACCAAACATCGCAGGGTTGAGACCAGCCCAATTCTACATACAGAAAAATATAAGATTAATGATAATGGTAGCGATACAAAGATACGTGCGACCAAAAGAATATTTTAAGAGGAGCACTGACCTAAAATCACTTCAGGTGCTCTATAATGTCTTGTGCTAACGATTGTACTATGATGTTCGTGATCGAAAGTAGCACTACCAAAGTCGATAAGTTTTATGTCGGTTCGCTTCACGCGTCTCATATCTCTCCGCTTAAAAAGAAAAAGCTTTTTTTGAAACACTTTAGAATGGAAGCTTATTCTACATGCCAAATCGAGGCTCGATAAATTGATAATAGAAAATATTAACCATAGCACACCTTTTTGTTATTATATGTGCTATCGTATTCCGAATCTACGAATAAGATGTTCTCCGGTTTAAGATCCGTGTGCGTGAGCTTGTTATCGTGTAAAAACTTAACAGCATAACAAAGTTGATAGCCCATGTGTCTAACATGTTCCAACGGATATGGCTGATAACTGTTATCCCTCTGTAAAAATAATTTCGTCAATGTCTTAGACCTGATAGCATCAAAGTCGTCTAATAGCAAATTTGGTTTTACTAGTACGTATTATATCTTAAAGACTATCATATATAAATTGATGTAAAAGCGTATGCATTATACATAAGCGGATTGGGCCACGAGATGATCAATACAATTACACTGTGTATTCGATAAAATCTATATTAAGCATTTCATCAATCAAGGCATTTATATTATGTTTTTGTATGTAGATAGACTAATATACATTTGGCTTTTACGCCAGTGCGTACTAATGTATCTAATTCGTCATAAGGTATGCTTCAATATTTACCAGGAAGTCGAAAACACTCAGACCGAGCATTTCGAAAGCGATACACATGTGTCCATGATAATTGAACCAATCGAGCATCTTTACGCATAGACTGAAATGAAATAATCGACAGTGAATTATCGCCGTTTCATAAACCTTACATATTAAATTAAAACAAAATATCCTTACTTACAGAGTAGCTTTACATCAGCAAAACTACTTAAAGATTAAAGAATAAATAAAACAATTAGATACTAACTGCTGGCCTTCTGGGTCCTTATTAGCGATCTTTTCAAGAGCATTTATTTCCAGCTTTGCTGCTTCCCTGTACTTTTCCACGTTTTTAATAATCTTCAGAGCCATCACATGATCCCTAGAATGTAACATCGATCATGATATCTGCTGATATTAAAACTGTCTCCCGTCAACTCAAATCCCGTATCCTATGAGGACGAAGCTGCACGTGGAGAATACTTTTCACGCGGACGTTTGCCGTAACTTCGTATTCCACTAAAGAGATCTAATTCGTGGCCGTCGCAAACGCCCAGCCCGTAAAACAAAGTGCAAGGCCATCCTATTATTGCAACTACTCGCGTGTTATTTTGTGACAGTGCCGGATGGCTATTTCTGCCTGTGGTACGTCGCGCAACGCGCGCATTTAGGATTTTCCTCGGCGCGCGAATTGATGATGACGCGCGAGGAACCGAGGCGAAAAGAGGTAAATAAAAATAAACAGGTAGAAAGAAAGATAGATAGAGAGAGAGAGAGAGAGAGTGAAATATGAGTAGACAGTGCGAAACGCGAAGTTATGTTACCTATGTACTTATGTGAACTGGAACTTACATTTGCAAGTCCTTAACCTTGACAACTTTTCCAAAAGTACCCTCTCCTAGGGTGGCCAGTACTTTATCTGTAATGTAAAAATAAAGGTGAATACCCAGCAAATATGAGCCTCGCGGCCCACGGAGGGAGGGAGTGCTCGCCTACGTTCCCTAACTGGACGAAACACCCTTCCGTTCGTGACAAGAAAGTCTTTGAGTGCCCCTTGTCCATCGCTCCCTTACACAAAGAAGAAAAAAGGCCACTCTCTTGAGGAGAGAGATGTCGCGTTTGAAAGAGAAAAAAAAAAAAAGAAGAAAAACGAGACCCTAAAGGAACGCGGGCGAGACTCTTCCATGTGGGCGTTCGGCCGATCGTGCGTTATCGTACACGCGCGGTTCATAGTGAACGGGATAACGAATAAACATGGAACGGTATCGTATAATTTAAATGGTATCGATCGAAAATATTGCTGCTCTCCTAAAGGTCCTAAAACGGGGTAAAAGCAGCGTAACTCTATTTGAACGGGGCGCACGGGACGTGGCATTTACTGTCGATCATACGGGAGAGTCCTTTTATCGTTTTTCCCATCCTTTATTCTTTACACAGCGAATAGGCAAGGAGTTCAATGGTATAATAAGAGATACAAAAACGGCGAGAGTAAATGCCAGTCGTCCTCGCACGCGCGTGCACGAGTATCAAGAGCGAGGAACACGCCGTCTCGAGGAGGACGACATATCGAGAAGATAGCGCAAATAAGAAGCCCTTCGCGGTCTTTCTCATTTGTTTTCCACTCCCTTTTCCTCCAAGCTCTCCGCCACCACCAAATCACCCTCGCGTTCGAAGGGATCCTCGATTCAGCTGGCGAATCAAAAAGCAAAATCTCTTTTGCGCCGGCTTCCCGATAGTCATCACCGTCGTCGTCATCGTCGAGCCGACGGGTTTCCTACGTGCTGTCGAAACACGTGGTGAATAGAGATGATACTATATATATGCTATTATGTACTTATCTTTCTGAAATAAATTGTATATAAACAGACAGACAGAGAGAAACTATATCTTTTTTTTCTGCTCTTTCGCGTATCCCGAGTTAGCGTGCGACGAAAAGATCGACAGGGAGAATTTTTCGATCTAGACAAAGAACCGCGCCAATGTGTGTACGCACAAATGTGTGTACGAATATAAGTGGTATCATAATATATATATATA